TMWKTTWTTTKTTAACCTTTTGTGTTCAGTCTGTCATTATTATATACAACTAGTATGTCTTATGTCTATTTTACTTTCATTGATTTGTAGACTTTAATTTCTTTGGCAAAGCTTAATTAAAATAAGCTTRGAGTATGTTGACAGAGCAGAGAAACTCTTTGATAAAGTACCTGGTTTTATTTTAATSTCATCAGTGGTATGATTTTTCAAACAGTGACAGTTCYTCCASCTGTCTCACCTYKGACATCCCAAGTGYCCYTGCCCTTTGCTGTTTATATTAACACTACATCCARTGTTAACATTTGCATTATTTAGCAACATTGTCTTTTCTAATGCCCTTTTAAAATAAACTCTCAGGTCAAAGTATAAACTCAAATTACATGTTCTTGACCTGTTAGCTTATTTGAGCACCTAAATCTTACCTTTATTTGTTTCCCTACAAAACACACTGGCTAATTTTCCAAACTAAATTGCTCATCCTTTTCTTTCTTTGTAAAGAAAATAACCTCAGTTTTGGGCTAATGAAAAATGCTAACTATTTTTTAAAATTATTTAGAAAATAGTTTTGGGCAGATGAATTTTGTTTGTTTATTCTCTGGTAAGAGCGAAACAATCAAACAAAGTCAGTCATAAGCCACAAATAACAAGGGGCTCCAATTTTTGGAAGCTTTCTGTCTTGACTACAGACTGTGAAGGTATTGGGGGCTGGTTTTATCCTGAAGACAAAATTCTTCCTTGGAATAYATCTGGGAAATTCAGTCTTCAGCTGTCTACTGGTTGCTGTCCCTTTACAGGAAAACTTTTCCCTTCTGTCTTTACCATATGAACTGCTTTGAGACAACTTCTCAGTTTCTGAATGTGTAGATGAAAGTAGCACATGCATTTTTATTATCCTCTAAGAAARTGTGAATATAGTCAGTAGCTTAAACCTTTGTGGAGCAGACAAGAACAGTATATTCTCTGCCTAGGGCTCTCTATATTATTCTGTAATATTCCCTATAACCTTTTGCATAATCACAGGATCACTAAGTTTGGARAARACATYCAAGATCATTGAGYCCAACTGTTAATGGWCTCAGGACTGCCATGTTCACTTCTAAACTATGTCGCCAGGTCACATCCATAGAYTTCCAGGGATACTGAGTGCACCACTTTCTTGTGCARCCTGTTCTGATGAGTGACCACCTTTTCAATGAAGAAATTTTTCCTAATATCCAATCTAAAYCTCCCCTGGCACAACTTGAAGCCRTTTCCTCTCATCCTGTCACTTCGAAGAAGAGACTGACCCCATCTGGCTATAGCCTCCTTTCAGGCAGCTGTAGAGAGTGATAAGGTCCCYCCTGAGCCTCCTTTTCTCCAGATTAAACACCCACAGCTCCCTCAGCTGTTCCTCATCACACCTGTGCTCCCAAACCTTCCCCAGCTCCATTGTCTTCTTCTTCTTTACTATTGAACTTACGTTTCAGGGACATATTTAGAAATAGAGCCAGACATTCTTCTTAGAATTGATTCTAAGAGTCAGTTTAGAACCCTACATTTTACCAGTAATTTCTTTTCCTTGGTTCTGCTGTTGCCAGTTTGCCTAGAGCTGTATGGAATATTTTATTGAAGGTCTTTGAATCTTCCAGAAATGTAATATCTGCTTCTGCATTTCGCAGTTCAAAATAGATGGTTAAAATTCACGAGAAGCTTTGGCYGCAGGTTCTTCTCCGTTAGTTTTTGACATTTTACCTACTATATAGAGGATGTTTTTTTTTCTTTTTATCCCTGTGTTTCCAACTTGAAATTACTTTTACCTGTTTTTCTAATGCTTCTGAGTTTTTTCTATATTGGGTTGATTTTTTTTTTTACTACTTTCTCATATTTTTAATTTCTTGTAAAGCTTAGCACTCTGGACCTCAGGTTTATGATCAGATGTTTTCACTTTGCACTGTGTATGACTTCAATGGAGTTAACTTTCTTCATAGCAGCCCAGTGTTTTATATTTGTGACAAAGATAATGTTTTGGCTATTGCTAAAATATGCTAAACATACAGATACTGGATATATATATATATATACTTTTTGGTATTCTCTTTTGAGGGAAATATGTGTTTTGAACTGGAGCTCAAATATTCGTAGAGGTTTCCAAGTAATAAAGTATTTTGCTGTCTTTTATARGTCAACACAAAAAGTGTTGAAATCCCTAACATAACCAGACATTTAAAATAAATGAATCCCTAGAAAGCTCCATTGAAAATGCACATATACTGGTCAGARCAATAACTGGTAGATGCAGCAGGCCTCTGCTGTTCTTTGCTCCTCTAATTAGTGATCTGCATTGATTTCTGAGCTCAATGATTCATTGGTAGTTCTACTCTTCTCAGAGTCATCAGTTCGTACTGGTTACTGACATCTTCTGTGAATCTAATTTGATCCTTTGATCCATAATGATTGCCTTTACTTTTTGGGCCCATTCACGGAAGCAGCAAAAAAAAAAGTGACTTTTTTTCAAATCTGGTGGGTTGACCCTGCCTGGACTCCAGGGTGCCCAGAAAGCAGTTCCTCAGCTGGGGAGAAAAAATGTAACAAAAGGTTTGTGAGGAAATGTCACCAGTTACCTTGACAGACAAAACAGACACAGCCTGGAGAAATTAGTTTATTGCCAATTAAATCAGAGCAGGGTAATATGGAATAAATCCAAACCTCCATCAGAGAAGTCAAACTGTAGCCCCCCTTTTACCAAAACATGGCCATACAAACCAGTACAGCACAAGATTAAAAAATGTCCGTTGTACTTCCAATTTCCCCATGCACATGCTTAGTAAATATGTTTTATTATATATTTATAGAGGGCTTATTTGCTTAAGCAAGTTGCTGTAATGTAAATCAAGCTGTGTGTGTACCTGTTTTTGTTCCTCTTTGGTTAAACCAAGTTAACAGTTCTGGCTATTGATTTGGATCTGGCTGGCAAGATACAAGAGGGGGCCTTTAATGGCCAGGGAATATCATTTGGGTGGAAGACAGATTACAGTCTACTCTGGAGTGAACTATTCAGTCCTGCTGAAGTGGGAGACTCCATAATTCTTAAAGATGGCACTTCTGGCTTTAGTTTAAAGTGCTTTTGCCATCATCTGGATTCTAATTCAAATAAATTCTTCCTGCAAGTAGGATGTCATTCTCTGCAGGAGAAGCAATCGCCTGTGTTAATTTTAAATCGCCAGTTCCCTTTTTTTTTTTTTTTTCCCCAAGCTGCTCTCTTGCTGCTATGAACTATCACTTTTTAGGGGTTAAAAAACAGTGATTTGAGTGAAGACTGGTTTAAAAACATGCCAATTAAGGATGTGTAGCTATGTCTGAAATGTCGTACATCCAATTACAAATGTTGAGAGCAGCCCCTTCAATTAATGGCTCCCACAGAATCATGGAACAGATGAAGGCTCTGGTTTGATGGGACTCTGGAAGCACTGATTAATTCAGAGCTGGCAGTAACTTTGCTGAACAACAGACGTGACCATRTCTGAAACGTGTTGGAAGGCACAGCCCAGCATTGAGTTTCTTGCACAAACACAAGCCGGCATTTGAAATGCATTTTGCTGGGGACGGGAGGTCACTTCATCCTTCTGTTGGATGCAGGTGCCAGCTGACAAAGTGCTGAGCTGACTGCTTAGCAGGGGAGGTGCAGAATAAAACAGTTTGTCTAAACAAACCTGATCGGGAGCAAGCAAAGGCCTTTACTGCCTGGAGAAACTTGGCTTAGCTATTCAAGTGGCATATATTCCATTTTCTCATAAATCATCTTAAAATCACTTACGGGTGTTCCTTTATACACCCATGGTAGTATTATACTGCAAAACTCTCCTAGTTGTGATGGACAAAACCCTTATTTTGACACTCTATCCATGATGCTAACCCTGAAGGAATTTTTTCCAGCTACTGATGGGATGGCCCCATACTATAGAAAAGCTGTTTGAGCTTTGTGGTCAAAGTTGAAACTCTTTTTCATTAAAACTTGCCTTTATTTCAATCTTTTCTTTGAGCACACCTTCCACTTCAGGTTTTTTTGGTGTAGACAGAGTTCAGGAACAAAGCAGCCATCTTGTCTTAAAGTGTTGGTTTGGTGATTTGGCGGGGAGCATTGATATAAAGGATTTTTAACTCTCAGGTTACACACAGACTACAAAATGGTTCTGTTTGTAGTGAACAGTGTTGGCAATGTCTGCGCCTCAGCTCCTTATCAATAAATTGTTTCTAGGAGATGTTTGTCCCTCTCAGGGGTAGAATGAAGCTATTGCCACCAACAGGCATCAGATTACTGAATGAATTTTAGTGATCCAGTATCAGAGCTAGATCACTGAAGAGGGATGAAGTTTTTTTAATCAGGTATCACATGAGGATGTGAATGTTCTTACAGATACTCAGCACTAGTAGAAGATGTATGATCAGCAAATCAGTGGAATTTTCCCACTTCTGTGGGCTTTATTTTGTTAACTGACACTGCATACGACTCAGTAGCTTCCTCACCCCTTTGCTCATACTGGATGTAGTTCTCCTGTCAGGGTCTGGGTGTTCTCAGTTCATACTGAGAGGATCGAAGTTGAGATTCAGTTCTTTGTTTGGTTTTTAGTGCTTAGCCTGCCTGCACAAGGTTTCTATGCGTATGAAACAGTAACATTTCAACAMGCAGTATTTTTATATTGCAATTCTATGTGTTTTTTAAAGTTTTTTTAAATAGTACTTTTGGGTGCCCTGTTTTGAAAGCAGGGAAACAGTTAGCAATATTTTTTTTGTAGCACTTCTCTTCAGAGCTTTTATCCTTTGCTGGACTGAAAGAACTGGCAAACTGATCTGCCTGACAGAGGCWCATTTGCAAAGAAAAACAATCTGAAGCATTTGTTGGCTTGTTACTGTGGTCGTAGTTATTCACTAACATGGATCACAAAGAAACTCAAATCTGTGGTTCATCTTTTTTTCGTAGAATTCTAATACTCAATAGAGTTGAATGGTAACATGAAAAGATAATAAATGGTTTTATTATTTGTCTTCAGCCACTTTATTTCCTCATTAAACTGATTAGTGGTTAGAATCTTTTTAAAGGTTAGAAAGGAGGATTTAGGAGTAARGTGCTTGGATTCTCTTCATATAACTACAAGGAACTACATGATCCCAAGCAAAGTAGAAAAGATTCTGTTCTCATCAGAACTTTCATTCCAGTCTGTGGTTCTGGATTTCTTTTAGGGAAGACACGTTTTATCCATAGGTATATAAAATGGGCACGTTTATCCATAGGTATATAAAATATTCCGGAGCTGTTTTCTATTGCTATTGCTAATTTACTGTCCACTGAACAAAAGCAGAGTAATTAACCCAGTATGTGAAGTACCCTCAGGGAAACAGAATTCAATAAGCAGATTACATTCTGGGCACATGGTGTGACATTTGGGGACTGTCCTGTGGAGGGACAGGAGCTGGACTCCATGATCCTTATGGGTCCCTTCCAACTCAGCTTATTCTGGGATTTCTGTGTATTCTAATTGTTTATAAGACTTTCTTGTATTGGTAGCCTGGTCCTGCTGAGAACGTTGTGATGGTTCATTATTCTTGATAATAAACTAGCAGAGGCTGTTTAATGAAGAAAATGTGAAAATATATGTTGGTTACATAGAATAACTAAGGTTGGAAAAGACCTGTAAGATAGAGTCTGACTGTTTCCTCCCACCCCTGCTCAGCACACCACTGAAAAAGCAAGTTCTGTTTGAAGGAGATTTTTCTTTATATTCAAATATCCCTTTTAAGTATTGCAGAAAAATATGAGGGTTACAATTACATGCTTTCAGTATAAATGAATAATTTAGAACTGTATTAAGGAGTTAAATGGAGACATTATGAAATTCTTTATCTCTATAAAGCAGCAATATTTTCTRAAATCGTAGAAAAAGGTAGTTGAGAAGAGGTCAAGGAATTTATATAATGACATTGAAGAAACCATTAGCAGGACCTGGGGGCTCTCTGGGCAGAGGATATGGAAGCTGGGCAGAACCATTTTTAACATGACTCCATGGAAACATGGCTGGCTAACTGTCTTAGAATTCAGTTTGCTGTGCAGTTGTTCCTCATCCTGGAGATTGTAAATGTGAATTTCAGGTTTACAGATTAACATTAAATCATTACCAGCTGTCAGTGTACAGATTTCTGTCTCAGTATGCCTGAGAAAGCTAAACTTGTTCTTGCTCTCCTTGTTTCCTTCTGTCTCTGTGTCTAGTAGAGATCTTGCAGCTTATGCTGCAGGTGGTGATTACATGAGCAGCTCTACCTGTGCTGCTTTAGCTTCTTCTCATGTCCTTTATTTTGTAAGGAACAGCCAGCACACATTAAACCTTTATTCTATTGCACTAAGACCACAGAGACAGATTTCGTTTCAGTCACAGCTGAGTATTCACAAGATATTCCTGGAATTAAAACAGCCATTTCTATGTTGTATATCATTCCACTGCTTCTGCCGTTTTCTTGTCAGAAACTAGTCTGGACACACTACAGCTTTGCTCTGTTTTTTGTTTATATTTTCTTTCCCTACTTGGGTAGAGCAGCTACAGCACATTTTGGATATATGTAGAATTGCTTACTCTGGAGACTGAGTCAACTGATGTAGATTGAGAGAGGAAAAAAAGAGAAAAATTCACTGGGTTTGTTTATAATTTTCTTCCATTAGTTTCTTCTTTCCTTGTTCATTACCTCTGGAACATTTGCATAATGCCTTTATTTGCTGATTCTGTTTTCTCCTGTCTACATTTTCTACCACTTTGTCTAATATAATAAATTTTATTGGTATAAATTTATGGGTTTTCTGTTTTTATCGATGCTGCTAATTTTTTGTGTATAAGAACATTTGTGGTTGTTTTTAATTTAAATTTTATTTTTTTAAATTTCAATAAGGAATTCCTCATTTGCTTTAAGAAAGAAATAGCTTCAAACAGTAACTCAGCTGATTACTGACTATTCATTTTTATTTCAGAAGGTGTTCTATATACAATTATTGTGTGGCTTTCTAGTTAAGAGGTTMAAAACTTACTCAGTTTAAGAGACTGAAGATATTCTGAACAGCAACATGGAATGATTTGGAAGTGCAGGCCTTCGAAATGAGGAGTTACATGTTGGGAGCTAGGCTGAACCAAAGAATTGTCTTGAACCCTTATTCTTCTTGAATCAACACCAAAAAGAAAATTATGTCTCTGGGTGTTGATTTACAATARCAGGAGAGGAAAAAGGCCTAATCCAAAGTGATTGTCAAAAGATTTTCCATTAAATAAGATTTATAATGAAGCCAGAATTAAAGAAATAATCCTAAGAGTGTCAGAACAATTAAATATGGAAAAGAGAAAAATAAATGGTTCATTAATTGCAAAATCATAAGAACTTTGATGATGTCTATTAGAATTCTCACAGAAATACACAATAATGTGAAAGAATTTAGAAACACRKGTTTCTGAGAGTTCATTTTTAARWTTTTTATTTTATTTCTCTCTYRTTTTCTTTTTGTGTTTAARCWCTATACCAGTTTTAATAAATAAAGGGGGAAAATTCCCCTCTAGGGATCATGCAGCATATCTTGTTTTGATAACATGTCTTTCTTTCTACAGTAGTATTGATTTTCTCCCCATTTGTTTGTSTAGTGTTAGTAACTGTGTTACCTGCATTGCTTTTGTACATAGTTACCTTCTTTTTGATGTTTGCTCTTTAGGTAATGATTCTGACGTTGACCTTGACAGGAAGGAAGATGAGCGAGAAAAAGCTCCAAAGAGGCCCAGAGTTCAGAAAACAGAGAAAACAGCATCAACTAAGGAGASTGAGCAGGTTTCAGCAGCTAAAAACCCTATTATAAGTGTGGTTTTGACAGCCCATGAAACTATTCCAGGTAATCAAATCACAAATTATATAWWTTTTTWAAAAATTATGCTAACACTGTATAAAATATTCATTGATCTAAGACCAAATTGCTCAGGATATTTCTTGTGTAAAAAATATTTAGCATTWTTTGATTATTTTCATAGCCTCTGCATCTGGCAGCTACCTAATTTTAGAACTTCAGTCACATTTCTTCATAAGTTCAAGAAATGCTGGACCAGGCTGTAGTTAACATCAGTTCCTGCATTAACATCAGTTGCCTTTAGACTGTGAATAGTTTTAAACAATAAAATGGTAAACACTGACCAGAGAACAAAAAAGTGTATATATATTTGAAAATCAAGTTCTACATAATTATTAGAGGCTTCAAACATTTTTTTTAAAACTAGATTTGCATTTGCCTGTTTGTGGAAACCATTAACTGATTATAAACCATTAACCATTCTGACTGTCAGAATCCCTTTTTAATAGTTTTGTGATTTTTTTTTTTTTTGTGAATTATTTTAGCTTTGTAGTTTTATCATTCTCCTTTTCGTTATTGCTGACATTTCTGAGTATTCATTTTTGCTTATAACTATCAGAACTGCTTTAAGGTCTTTATTTTGTTGTTGTGGATTGGAAGTGAGCTGGATTTTCTGTGTAGTTAATATCTTTTGATATTGAGATGTGTTTTGTGCTTGGACTTTGCTGAAATGCATTTCTAGTCACAATGGTTGAGGAAGGTGGATAAACTCTCCTATGAATGTTCTATGTGCTCGGGAGGGAAGTAAAAAACACCCTCACACTTTGTTGTTTGGGAAACATCACACAGAATTCAGGATTTACACTGAGGTACTAAAAATTCGGTCTTGCAATATTGTAAATACAGAGGAAGATGGAAGAGGCCTGGTGAGCACTGGAATTGTGGAAATCTAGTTCCAGGATGGTTTGAGGACTGCATTGGTTCATGTCACTAACAACAGCCTCCTTTCTCTTGGGTGATGTAACCCTGAGCTCTTTCCCAGCTGTTGTCAAACACTCATTTTCCCACTGTGTCTCCTATCTCCTGCCTTTTCCCAGTGCATGTGGCTTTTGCCCCATCCTGGTGCCCATTCCCTTTGTGTCCTCTGCTCCTTCATGGGCAAAGGGGATCATGGGGTGCCTGGTTCAGGGGCTCATGTGGGCTCATTATAGGAACTTAGGAGGTTCCTATAAATGTTTGTTTATGGATATTCACGAACCTCTCTTCCTCAGGGCTTTTGGAATGAGCCATAACTGGGGATTCCCTTCTCCTGGTGCTACATTTCATGCACCTTGTAGGAATTTTTATCTTAGACTTTTACATTTCTGGCAAGGACTAGAAGAATTTCCAAGAGGGGAAGGAAAAACATGATGGATAGTGCAATCAAAGATCCATTTTCTTACAAAACTGGCCTAAAAAGGAAAATAAAATGATAGTGAATATACAGAATGAAGCAAGTGTGGCAAGTATGTGATGCAGGAGAGGAAATGCAAGTCCAGAGGATACTGGTGCCATAATTATTTCTAGTAAATTTTTTTCCCGCACAGAAATTATAGGTTTTCTTTGCACGTATGCTTTTTGAGATACTCAAAATAGTAAAAGAACTTAAAATTTGGAGCTGTTTGGGCATTGCACATCAAACATTCAGAAGGCTTTAATGAACCAAAAAGATTTATGGACAAATATGAACCTTCAGCAGTTTTTGAAGGTCCTCTCACCTATTTGACTGACAATTAATAATCTTATTTCATTCAAGTTCCCAGCTAAATTATATGTAATAAAAAAGTCAGTGCTGTTCAGAAAGTTAGAAATTGTCACCCAACTTTTCAGAATTTGGAAATTCTAGAAGATAGGATGTAAATGGTTAACTCTGAAGATTCAAAAGAAAAATATTTCATTTAATGCAATTATAGTTTAATTTATTTTTCATTGACTTTCCTTCTATTTTTTTCCATTAATTTCCATGATCTAACTATATCTTAATGTCACTAGCAATTCTTAGGCAGTTCCCCTTTCTCAGTAATACTTTAATGTCCGTAGTTTTTAATAAAGATTTTTCACAGTCTTTTCCAGTCATTTTTCTGGAGATTTATCACGTGCTGAAGAGATGAGTTACTGCTGTAGATTGCTGTTGAAGAATATAAATAGATAAAACAGTTCTCATTTCTTTTCTGCTTTCTTTGTGCTAGACCATCTGTAAAGTTAAGTTGAAAATAAAGTTTAAATGTACTTAAGCACTATCTAAACTTAGTCATTGCTCTGCAAGCATTAACAATCAGTACCCACCTGTTGCTTAGTTTTAAAAGTGCATGGAAATACCCCTTTTTGTGTCCAATACAGTAAAATTCCACTGGAAGATTTCAGATGACAATTAGAAAAATAGAGAAGGCCTTAGGGATCAGCTGTATTCTATTCCCAACATTAAGGAATTACTTGGACTATACTTTTCCTTTCTTAAATAAAAGATTTTTTAGAAGTATTGCATTAACACTTTGCTGTAATTTTGCTATGCACTAATTAGGTTTGGGACGCTGCTTTATATCATGTGTTCAGTAGATTATGACTAAAAGGATGTCTTCAAAATCCCTTTGAACAAACAGGATCAGTTAGTTTTTAACTTTCCAGAAAGGACATTTGGGCAACGTTGATTTTCCCCAATGTTCCTCTTCTGTAGTGTTTTCTTGGGAGGCATGTGAAAGGTAATAGATTTACAGCTTTAGAAATCTGAAAGCTGTCATTTRCCCATAGAKTGAACACAGTYTGAATAGAAGTTKTATATCTTTTTTCTGTGCAGGTGTTGAAGTCCCTTGACAGACTTGAGAAGTGTCTGTGCAAAGCTCTTGCAGTGCCAGGCCAAGTGCAGGGTCCTGCACCTTTGCATGGAGTGAGATAGGATAAGGACAGATAGCTTCAAATTGAAAAAGGGTAGTTTTAGATGAGCTTGTAGGAAGAGTTTTTTCACTGTGAGGTTGGTGAGGCATGGAACAGTTTGCTCAGAGAAGTTGTGGTTGCTCCGTCCCTGGAAGTGTCCAGGGCCAAGTTGGATGGGGTTTTGAGCAGCCTGATCTAGTGGAAGGTGTCTCTGCTCACAGCAGATGGGTTGGAATTGTACAACCTTTAAAGTCCCCTCCAACCCAAACTATTCTATGGTTCTGTAACTGGAGGGATGTGGAGACCATGAAGAGAAGTTCATGAGCAYGTCAAGGTATCAGGTCCAACACAGGGGAGTTTTTCATAAGCATCACAATGAAAAGAGTCAATAACTGCAATTATATGCACGTCTGAAAATAGTTTGTTTTGGATGGCAGATGTTTTTTTCATAGTCTATTTTTAAGAGCAAGTGAGTAAATTCAGCCAAATATTCCATCTTCTGGGTTTTTTTAATGTATTTTTGATTGATTTGCAGATTGATTTAGGTCAGCCARTGATTGCCTTTTGTGAGCAGGTACTTCATCAGTATGTTTGAAAATCTGGATCTCCCTTTTTAGGTTTGTAAAGGCATTTGACTCTCTGTGAACTGTGTAGGTAATTTAGAGGCAGGAACATGAGGATAACCTTGGAGCATTCTGCCCTCTCAAAGTATGCATAATGCTGGTGAGTTAGTATTTATCTAGAGAGTATATATTTAGTTCATCCAATTTAGGTGATTAAATTTTTATAGTGGTAGTATGAAAGTCTATTAARCAGTTCAGCAGTCCTTTCAGGAAATGCTCAAACATCCTGAAATGCAGAAGGGCACAGAGGAGAGTTAGTGTGGAGCATTTAATGAGGATCTTTGTCTCACAGTCAGGAAATGGGAGGCCTGGAAGAGGTAACCATGCATATAAAGCAGTTTAAGACCTATTTTCTTTTAACTGAGTCATTCCAAATATAGAATTTGCTTCTATTTTAAGTATTGAAGTATCAGAACACTTGTCTGGTGTCTAATGTCTATTCTGTCACCTCTATACTGAACCCACAGACTGAGCCATGGCTCCTATGCTGCAAAGACAAGGTCCAGTCTCACTGGGCTACTGCAGTACAGTTTGGGAGATGCAATCCTGACACTTGCGGGAGAGGGAAGAGCAGGAAGAATAAAAGTTGTAATGTTCTGGTAACATTTAGGGTGAAAACTTGGAAGATCAGTTCTGATGAACCTGCAGAATCTTTAGTACAGAAGTGAAAGCATTGTTAAAAAGCAGTAATCCAAAAAAACTGTGTTTAGATGCAACCAGTTGAGTGAGCAACAGAGCTGTTACAGTTGGTTTAGTTACAGAGTTGGCTGATGTCCCATCTGATAGGGAAAGCTTCAATATCCTTCCACACTCCCAAATGGCCTCTTATCCAAATATCTCCATTTCTTACTTTAAATCACTCTGAAGGACCCACAGAATCTCCACCTTTCTCCTTGTTGTTGTTTACAGCACTGCCTTCCTCCATGTAATGTCCCTAAGTCTTTCACACCTTTTGTTGGGTAACTCCCACTGTATTGTCAGAGCCTTTTTGTTAACACTGTTAATTTCTATCTTATAAATAGAATCTTCAATAATCTGGTCTTAATGCATTTGGTAGAGCCCCTTTACATCTGCCTCTAATAAAGATTGAGAAGTGCACATGGAACATGGAATCAGAGAATATCTTKAGTTGGAAAGGATCCACAAAGATTGAGTCCAGCTCCTGACCCAGCACAGGACAGCCCCARGAATCCCACCATGTGCCTGAGAGTACTGTCCAAACACTTTTTGAGCTCTGTCAGRCTTGGTGCTGTGAACACTGATCTGGGGAGCCTGTTCCAAACATCTTCTTTTATTCTAAGGGATGGCAATATGCCCCAAAATGTAAGAAGTTTAAGGAAAACACGTACTGACTATTAAATGTAGACTAAACTCTCTTTTAGACTAAATTGTCTTTTCTTCAGCCTTACTTGTGGAACTGATTAAACAGCTTGGTCTGAGTTTTCAAAGGATGTGGTCTGGAAGAGAAACAGAAAAGTTCAAATTTTATTTAGAAGAGTTACAGTCTTTTGAAGGTGGAAATATTTGGATGTAGGATATCCTAGAAGCAGACATCAAGCACCAAAATAACTCTCTGAACCATCAGTCCTGGCATGTTAATTAAGCAGAAGTGTGGTGTAAGTACTGATGTCATGTGGAAGTGTATCCATCATTAACAGCAGAAACTAAAATTGTCGAACTAATGATTGTTTGATTTCCACTTGTATATTATAGACAATGCATGTTTTTAGTGTGAGATTTTAATGAGCATTTTTTTCATTCTTCCTTTAGGAGCCAGAAAAATTGTTCCTCTTGAGGCTTCTCCTAAYGAAAGTGAACCCGCCACTCCAGAAACAGCAGTCCAAGACCCATCACAACGAAAAGGATATCAAGAATATGCCATTCAGCAAACCCCATATGAACAGGCAATGAAAACAAGCAGGTAATTTTGAAGTACTTATGTTTGTGTTCATGCAGAATATGAATGAAATGCTTCCCCATCCATTTTCATGAAATCAGAATGTTTTTCTGAGCCCTTTAAAGGAATAGTTGAATATAAACTGTGAGTAAATTGTATAATTTAAAATACCTATGGAGAAGATATTTTTTTTAAATACTGAGTATTTCTGTTAACAGTGAATATCTAGGGAAATTTTGACTCACTATATCGCCAAGTTTCAGTACTGTAAATATAGCTCTTTTTGTTTTTTTTAGGTTGGGTCCAACTCAACTGAAGATTTTTACATGTGAATACTGTAACAAGGTGTTCAAATTTAAACACTCCCTCCAAGCACATCTGAGGATTCATACAAATGAGAAACCTTACAAGTGTTCTTACTGCAGTTATGCCAGTGCAATCAAAGCCAACCTCAATGTTCACCTACGTAAGCACACAGGGGAGAAGTTCAGCTGTGATTATTGTACCTTCACTTGTCTCAGCAAAGGCCATCTCAAGGTCCACATCGAAAGGGTTCATAAGAAAATAAAGCAGCACTGTCGTTTCTGCAAAAAGAAATACTCAGATGTTAAAAATTTGATCAAGCACATGAAGGAAACTCATGACCTGCAAGATAAAAAGGTGAAAGATGTTTTTGATGAGCTTCGCTTGATGACACGAGAGGGCAAAAGRCAACTCCTTTATGACTGCCATATTTGTGAGCGCAAATTCAAAAATGAGCTGGACCGGGACCGTCACATGCTCGTTCATGGTGACGAAAGACCCTTTGCTTGTGAGCTCTGTGGTCATGGAGCCACTAAATACCAAGCCCTTGAGCTTCATGTTCGAAAGCACCCTTTTGTGTATGTGTGTTCTGTGTGCCTGAAGAAGTTTGTCAGTTCTGTGAGGCTCCGTGCTCACATCAAAGATGTGCACGCAGATCTGCAGGAGGATTCTGTTTTTAACAATTCCATCAACCAAAGCTTCTGTCTGCTTGAACCAGGAGGTGACATCCAGCCAGAAGCCCTTGCTGAGCAGCAGACACAAACTGCAGATGGATTGACTGTCACGAGTACTGATGCTGTTAACACCCCACAGCCATCTGCTTCTAAAGGTGAATCAGCAGCTGCAGATGTAAACCATAATGGTCAACAGAATGGTGAGGTAAAAATCGATGCAGTCCTTTCCTTAGAGTTTGAAAATCCTCTGGTTCAGAATGTAACAGAGACACTGTGTCAGACAGCAGATGTAGCAGTCCCAGACATTCAGCCCTGTGTAACATCAGATTGCTTCCTGCTGAAAAAYGGTACTGCTGGTCCTGAGGAGTTAAGAGTTTCTCCTCCAAATGAAGAAAAAGTTAATCAATGCAGTTCTGTAAATGAGCAGGGTGAAGAAATTAATCTTTTACTGTCTGAAGACAAAAGTWTAAATCTGAGTCAGAACAGTGCAATGACTGAGAACCTTCCAGTCCCTGAAGAGAGAACCCAGCCTGTTCCTCCTAGTGAATCAGAAACAAGCAATCCACCCATGCAGAATCCAGCAGAACCTGCAGACCCTTTGCCAGCACCAGAAGCTGGTGCAGCCCCCAGCCCACAGGCAGCCTCTTCTAACACACCTACATCCAACGGGGGCACTGGATCYGTTGCCTTCATGCAGATCTTGGACAGTTTGCAGAAGAGACAAATGAACACTGAGCTGCGTGAGAGGATAAGGAAGGTTTATGGAGATTTGGAATGTGAATACTGCGGTAAGGAGCTGCAGAATTATGTTTGGGGCTGTTTTAAAATGTTATGCAGTCAGCCATCTTTTTCCTGCTCCTCTGGTTTACAGTGTTTGGTATATTTGTGTATCTTTGCAGCAGCGTTAATTTTGTAGCTCAGTATGGATTCTGGGGCCCAGCGAGATTTACTTTTTGCTCTACAAGTAGTGTGAAATGAGTCAAATCTCCTGAAAAACCCTACTGGTAAAATATAGCCAAGCAATGTTTTGCAAGGCTCGATTTTCTGTTGATATGAAATTTGATAGAATTAGATTATTTCTGTCTGCATGCTTCTCCCCAAATCATAACTTCCACTGGGGCCAAGCACAGCAGATTTAGGCATGTGATCAGCATTAGTTCAGTCCACGCTTTAATGCCTAAGCTTCATTATCAGCTTAGTATAAAATTCAGAGTTTTTTTCCTRTAGTGTAGGAGGATGTATGGTAAAATACATTCTGTACAAAAGGTACATATATACTGGCATAATTTTGTGTCTTGTTTTGAACCAGCTTCTTTGAGATGAAAATTTTAACCACATGTTATCAGATCAAGACTGTTCTGATTGTAATTGTTAGGGGTTTTTTTAATTTATGGATGTGGGAATAACAGACCGTTCCTATTTATTCTAACTGAAAAATGTTTGTGTTTATGTAATTGAAAAGGAAGCAATTTGGGATTTATATTGTAGTTTTMGTTCTTGAAAAGGGAAGGGAATCAAAGTCTGAAAAACCAAGTTTTTGAAATGCCATAACATTGTACTTCAGACGAATTGCTCTTTGCTTTTTGGTTCCATTATGCCAGAAAGGCTTTTAAGAAGGAGTAACATGAAAGAAAGTAGCACAAAATATTTTGACAGTCTCTTTGAGTGTACAGTTGCGTTCAACTTCTTTGCATAGAAGAACACATGTAAAGGACTTTTGCTTTAGAAAAAACATCATTGACATCTATTAAAGTTGCCCTTGTTATGCTGTTTTAGGACATACAATGCAATCTTTTTAGGCAAAAATAGGTTTTGCAAATATATTTTCCATAGTGAAGAGTCTGTAGACAAGTTTTCATTAAAGACAAAAGGGACAGGATTCAACCAGTGTGTTTTGCCCTGAAAGAAAATCAGTTATTTCTTTGAATTTTCACTAACAGTTGTTTAGGAATTACTTTCCTCATGTCTAATTTTATTTTCAGGCAAGTTATTTTGGTACCAGGTGCACTATGACATGCATGTCCGTACTCACACTCGAGAACATTTATATTACTGCTCCCAGTGCAATTATTCTTCCATCACCAAGAACTGCCTTAAGCGTCACGTCATTCAGAAACACAGTAATATTCTGCTGAAGTGTCCCACAGAACAYTGTGACTACTCCACTCCAGATAAATACAAGCTCCAGGCACACCTCAAAGTTCACACAGATATGGTAAGTAACAAACCAAAAGATGTGTTTGTCTGAATTCAGTATCTTCTTCAGTGTGTTTGGAATTGTGTGGTCATATTTGAAGACAGAGTTAAGGGTTCTTACCTGTGTGCTCTCTGCACACTGCTGGGAATGCRTGACTTACAGCAACTAGATATTTGGTCCTTCTCAGCTGTTTCCAGGAGAGTGTGTCTATATCCTTTTTCTCTCTTTAGTTTTCCAACTGTTGTCAGATCCTTTGGGTTTTGAGAGGGTAGAATAAATTGGTGTCACACTGGTTACASTATTGTTACTTTACCTCATTCTGTGAACCTGAATTCCCTTCSTTCATAAATAGGTGGCTTTGGAAAWTGAAAATATGTTCCCCTCAATATTATAAATAAAAGATATTTTAAGTTGTTGAAAAGGATTTTTTATTTCCTAATATCTCCAACTAATTGCAGTTGAACATCTACTATTTTCTGTTGTGTTTACAAAGACAAAGAGACCACATTTAAAGGCACCTGTCTTTTTCAGAAAGCCCTCCAGCTCAGACTGCCTATGCTACAACCAGGTCTTGGTAGGTTCTTGGTCTGTATTTTCAACAGCTGAAGTTACTTTAAAGGTATTTGGAACAGAGCAACGTTTTACTTCCTACTCTTCTTAAGAAATTACCTCTGGAGAACTTTAAAAATCAAACAGAAGAGATGACACAGACATTTCCCCCCCTTGTAACTTCCCTTCCTACCTCCCTTTCGGTAACTATTTTAAATAGAATCTGAATTTGTTATGAAGGGTGCAGAAAATTCAAGTAACAGACATTCTTTTTGGATGCCTTTGAATTAATGATGTTTATAATGCCCATCTGATAGCAAAAGTCTATTTAAATGGTGCCTAAGAACACTTAAGAAAAAAGAGTCTATAATTAGCTCTACTTTATCCTTCTGTAAGTACCTGTTTTTCAAGTGTGATGAATGTCCAACAGCTCCCACCAGGAGGATCATTTTCATAATATTAAATAGAATGGAGAAAATGCATTTCATAATTAAAACCAGTGTGACAGCAGGATCTTTGAGAAGCGTGCTTACTGATGCTTACTGCCAAATATATTTATTTAAATGGATTGAAAAATTCATATATTAGAATTTAYTTAGTAGCTAAATTTGGCAGTTCTCATGTTGGCCTTTGTGCCCCCTGCTTGGTATATTTAATCCATGCRTATCTCACTGAGAAGGATCACTTCTTCAAGTATATATCTATGCACAGTTAAATGTGGAAATCTACTATCATTTTAGTTTGCAAAATCAATCTTAGAAATACTAAAATAAAAACTTCCATGGAGACAGAAGATATTGAAACCTTGGTTCATTTCCTTGTATGGATGCATATCCTTCATCACCTCCTTGCTGGCTGCATTGCAGCTGGATCCCTGCATTATTTGGTGAAGAAGATAAATGAAATTTATCTGTTGAAAAGACTGCTTTCCCTTCATCTTTGTGACTGAAATAGCCACCCAGCTTACTCTCTATGCATCCCTCATAATTTGGGTGTTTGGAATCATTGATTCCCTGGCAGATGATGATGGGGAGTGTGGATGTGCTTCCTCTTGTCTTCTGTATTTGCTATACATTTTTGCTACAGGGAAGATTTTTACTTTTGAAGCCTGGAAATTGAGTCTTGTCTTGATTCAGAACCAAAACTTTGTATATATTCTCTGATTGTCAGTGCTCATCTTTTGCTCCTAGGGCTTTTATAGTGRTCTTTGACATTTATTGGCATTTATTGAGCTCTTCAAAAGTTCAAATCATGACATGACCAAATCATTTCCGTGTCATGGTACCTTGGAAAGAGCTGGGCAGTTTCCAATTGCTTTAGAACAATTTACATTTTGAATGAGCTCATGGTAACATTAGAGACAGGGTGTGGAACTAAACAATGCTGATGTAGCTACCARAGTTTGTTTACAGCCTGCAGTGGGTTTTGCCATACTCAATGTGCTGAGTACATAAACACCAGAGAGAGGTTTGTCTTTGAAAATATTTCAAGTCTATGTATGTAATTGAYACTGCAACATTAGCACCTCTATAAAACTGTAGTCGAGATCCAAAACCCCTTCTCGTTATTAGGTGCCTACATCTGCTTTCATGCACATTTTGGGATGTAAATTATTCTTGTCTTTGCAGGGATGCTTAGAAATTCCGTTATGTTGTTGACCTTTAGTGTAATAGCTTAGCTGTCGGTGGGATTGAGATGCTCAAGCTCTGATTGCCCTTCCTGAGGAGAGTAAATTTTCAGATGGTCACTGCTCTGGCTGCGTTACCTTTGCCTTTAGAGCAGTGCTGCTGTGTGGTCAAGAATGCAAGGTACTGCAAAGGGAGGGAATTAACAAATACATCACTGATCTAATGATCTGGCATACAGTTGGAAAATGTCTTGCTCCTAGTACTCACTCCTATAATGAATGTCAGCATGGCATTTGTTTTTATTAGTGGTTATTTCACAAAAAAAAGGCCCAGGTAGTCTATGCAGGTGCTTGCCATTTGGTGAGTTAAGAGTTCTGCTGYTTGCCAGACTTCAGAAAACTCTGTCTAAGCATTTGCACATTTCTCTGTAGCCTCCTTCACATGTGTGCACAGCTGTCTCCTAGGTACGTCTCATCCTTTTAGCTGAGCTGCATTTTAATGGATATCAGTTTTATTCAGGAATCTTTCGGGAAAATTTAAATTTGAACATCATGACAACTGTGGTAAAGATTTCTGGAGGTCTTCACTCCCCACAAGTATAACTTGGGGGCCTAATTCTGATCCCACAGGTATTAGAAATTAAATTTCTRTTGATCTGAGTAGATGTGGGAGCAGGCTTTGGCCCTCTATTCCTCTACAAAACTATCAAATGTGTTGAGTTGTGGGAGGTCTTCTTGAAAACGCTCTGGGATTTAATTTAATTTTTCTTTTGTGACTGTATACTTGTACACCTACCCATGTGGAATTACACATGCCTCAGAGAAATAAAATTCTCTTCAGAGCACTTCAAATGTGTAATGCAATGTAGGTGATGCTTTCTTGGCACAATTTTAATTCATTTATATAAAGAGAAATRCTTTGTGATTATTATGTTAAGTGGCCTTATTTATAACAAAACAGCATAAATAAGAACATTTGTGATAGCATTAGACTAATTTATTTTCACTAGGTTTTAGAATACTTGTGTATCTAATTAAATTCCTGTTTCATGGAATGTAAACARCACTTTCAGTCAAAAACCTACCTTTATTTAGGAATTATTTTAAGTTTCTTATATTTTCTCAAACTGGCTGATAGGGGTGTTGAGTAAATATCAGGAAGTGATTGACTTTGAAACTTAAATAGCTGATTGGACTATGCAGCTGCTCTCTAGCAAAAGTAGATTCAGGTCTCTTCATGCTTTGCTTGTGTTCATGTCCTTCAAAAAAAAACCCTTCAAAGGTATTTGAAAGGCAGTATTCCAATAAGGCATAAGATAAATATCGTCCTTAACCAGAGGAAAACTGGGATGCTGAGAATGTGGTTAAGGTATTACTTCAACCTCAGCCTTTGAGGTGCTTCTGTCATCAGCCATGGCCAGGGCACCTGAAGAGCTGGAACTGTGGTACAGCAGACCTTCTCTGGGGTTCTGTGTTGTGGTCTGGGTGCTCTGAAATACTTCATTGGCAACAGGGGATTTTTAAAGGCTGTTTTGAGAGAGATGGGATTACACTGAAAGACTCACACAAGCTCTCAGGGTAGYGACAGAAGAACATTTAAACATTCCAAGCTAACAGCATAAGCTCTGTGGTGTTGGCCTGGATCAACAGCAGGGAAAGATTTGGCTTCAGCTGAGTGTTTGTTAAACTACAAAAGATAATGCTTTTGAAGAGCACCTCTGCAGGACTTGGTGTAGATAACTTCCTAATTGCTTGAAAAAAAGCTGTTTGGATTATTTCATTATTGAAAGACCTTATTGCTATCGTCTTGTGCAAAGGTGTGTTCTCAGCACCCATCCATTCATGTTGCTCTATAGCTCTTGATGCATTTACTGATTATTTTGATTTTTCTTACAAGACATAGGCTTATAGCGTTGCCTTCTTCAAGAATATAAAGTTGTCACAGTTAACAGCACTTCAATTACATTAGCACATGTAGTGGAGTGTTAATTTTTTTTTTTCTTGTTTAACATTTGTCACAGTGTTCTGGTCACCCTGAGAAATACGTAATACAGTGAGTGTCAGAGACCGGCAACACCCAACTGTACGTTAAAAGGATACTATTTTTTTCCTTTATTTATTGTATATTTATATATTTTGAAATCAGATCTATAGCAAATTTGAGGAACAGATTGAGATCTGTCAAAAAATTTCAGCTGCCCCCTCAAGGGCCCCTAAATGATACTGTACTAATGTTTTTCTTACGTGTGCCAAATTGCGAATGTGATCATGCACTTATGTCTTTGAAAAGGTGCAAACATTGCTATGGGGTTCTCTTACGATTACAGCCTCCATTGTAGTAATGTGTTCACATTAGAAATCCAAAATCATCAATAGCAGACTTAGGTTACATCACTTGAGAGACCCTAATTCCACAAATTAACAACTCTTTTTCAAGGTTTTGCCAGCTTTGTAAGCTCCTTGAATCTCTTCCAAAACCTAGCTATTATTCTCTGATGTTTTGGTTTTTTTTGTTTTTTTTTTCTTTTTTTAATATTCTTAGGGCTTAAAATGGTGACAGCCCCAACTTCATCATAGCAAGGTGCTGTCCCCAGGGTGGTGATCCCTTAGTAACTGCCCTCCTCAGTCCCTGATGCAGGTTTTCTTGCAGGAACAAGTAACTATCAGCTCAGGCAGAATTATTCTTGTGCCACTCCCATAGCAATGGCAGTGAGAGCTCCACATCCTGCTGTTGTGGCAGTATTTATTGGTATTCCAGCCCAAGAGTTCTAGGGCTACTTCTGGTTTTAATTGTAGATACTTCAGCTTAGGGGTTTGTTTCTCAGAGGTGCGTGATACTGAGTGCAAATGCTCCATGATGTTCTAAAACCTGTCTGCCGTGAAAACCCATCAATTTTTGCTTTTCTTTCAAGAGAGATGTCCATTTACAGCTGTACAACTGTGGCATCTGGACAATGATGACCTCCTTGCACCGTCTTCATTGCTATTCAAGAGGTGCTCATTGGCCTATGGTCAGAAACTGGTGAAATCCAGGACCCTTTGTCTCCTGTTATCTCCAGATTTCTCATTCATAACACAGGGTTCAGTCTCTTTTTGCTCAGTAATCTTCCATCCACACTCTGCAAGAAGTTTTTCTGTCTTCCTAAAATAAGTGGTGAAGTATCTGTCCTGTAGCTTCAGCGCACCTTGTCAGAGTTCTCTGTAGTTGGGTAGCTCTCTCCAACCAGGTAATGTGTTACCTGAGCACCTGCCCAGCTTTCAGGACTAGCTAGACTTCCTCCATCTGTGGTTTTGATCATCCACTCATAAATTAATCCACTCAGTGCAGAGGTGATCATGACCCACTCATTTGATGGAGCATCCAGTCTTTTGTGCCAGCAGGTACCTCTGGCAAGACCAACCTCTCCAATTTATGTAAGTGGCAGGGTTTAATGAAAATTGGATAGTGTACCARTTAATAGAGGAAAATTCTACATTTTTACATGGAGTTAGATGCATTTATAAAAGCATGAAAATTACTTAAAATTTTGTACAATTGTATATATACAATARCATAAAAATTTCAATTAGACTAGAAATGTATATAGGAAGAAATTATATCAAAACTCTCCACCTGAACTTGATTGATAGTTTTAAATCTGTTGAATATCAGTGACACTGAGAAAATTCACAGTAGCCTGTAAGTCTTTAAATCAATATAGTACAGTAAGACTTTATCAGTAATACAGAAAATGCTGAATATTTATAAAGCAGTTAGAAAGGCAGACACTGAATAAGTAATGGAATCTGTCATTGTTAACTCTGCTGCTCAATTTCAGGCCATTTTATAAATCCACTTAGTGGTGGATGTCTTCAGAAGAGTAAGAYCTGACCCTTAGGTTTCAGAAAGGTGGACTTGTGAAAAAAAAAAAAAAAAAGAAAACCCCCTAAATATTACTGCTTACATCGAATGCATTTTCTTCTGTTATGTTACTTGACCTTTCGACTCTTGATTTTCTACAGAGTCAGTCAGAAGATAATGCTCACATTTATTGTGCACTATTCTCATCTGCTATAACTTGGASCCGTGTATTCATGAGGATTAATGATGTGCTTTGAGTCTTTTAATATTTCTCCTTCACTTATTTCACTATAAATACCTTCATTTTTTCCTTAAAAACCGAAACTTGAATTATAACTTTGCTGAGAATCATGTATTACTGAATAAYGACTATAGTGATTATACCAGCAGACTGATAATGCAATCTCTTTCTTTCTCACTTAAGGATAAAAAGAGTTATTCCTGTCCTGTGTGTGAGAAGTCATTTTCTGAAGATCGACTTATAAAATCTCACATCAAGACAAATCACCCTGGTAAGAAAAAAATCAAGGACAATTTCTCAGTCTATTGCAATAAAGGGATAAGGGTTTAGGATGAGCAGTGTAATGTGATTATATTCCTAAGAAACAGTCTATTTCTAATGCAAGTGGTTTAGAGTAAGAATTGTCTTGGTTTTGCAGATRTTAGGATTTGGAGTGAAAAATGTTACTGTTTGAGCATGTGCGTTGTGGAGTATGTCAGGTATTGTGCTAAGAAATCTGTCTTCATCTGGCAAAAGGTGAATTCAAATGAAGCAATGGGAAGTTTGGAATCAGGCATATAGACARACATCCTGTAGCAACCCAGGAGATGTAAAATTCCCCCTGGCCTTACGTGAACTGACAGGATTGCATTTAGTGCTCATTATTTGTCTGTGTGGGTGACTGATGTGAATGCAGAGCTGGCCCTGTGTGTGCTCAGGTCCCCTGTGTTGGGCTGTAGCCCCAGGGCCAGCAGGARTCTGCAGCAGGACTCCTGATGGGATGTAGTATGACCAGTGGTAAKCTGGAGCTGGCAAGCCTGGCTGGACCCAGCTAACTGCTCCAAATTCTGTTTGTACCTTTCATCCTGGTGCCTTGTTTTATCAGTGCAAGTACAAGATAACATGTGTACTGTGCACGTACAAGATAACATGTAACAGTGTACTGTGCCTGAGTAAACAATCTTTTSTCAGATCTTGGGAATTCAGTGCCAGAATGCTGGTGAGAGGCCTGATTTAAACCTGGCTGATGTGAACTCACAGAGCCACACTGATGTGTCCCTAATTTCCTTGGAGGAGAAGGAGGAGGCAGAGGTGACACTTCACTAATTCACTAATAAGTGCTACTTATCACCTGACATAATTGGCTACAAAGAAAGAAAGAAAGCACTGGCCATGCTCAGACTGAGTTTGAGGAAGCAAAAATCGTATTAAAATGATGTAACTTTTCTTGTCTCTCTTGTTAGAAGTTCAGCATAATAGATAGAGCAGTGGTTTATCTTCCTACCGCCACTAGATAGTGCTAGACCCGTGTTTTAAACAATTTCCTTCGCTTTAATTTCGTACTTCACTCCCACTGTAGCTCTTTAGTTACTAAACCTCTTTATTTGCAGACCACYCCAGTGCAGTGTGGTTGGCTTGTCRTACGTCAGAGGAGATGTCTGATGCAGGAAATTGAGATGAGAAAAGGCTTCTGAGCTAAACTGTAGTCAGGAGGTATAACACCAGTAAGCATAGAAACTGAATCTCAAGGACTGTGCCTTCAAAGCCTTCGTGCTGCCTGAGCCTTTTAGGAAGCATCGGAGACTCCCTAAAAACAGGATCTGAACTGGCAGGACATTATGTACTGTGCCCTTACATGTTGCCATTAGCCTGCRCTGGCCCACTGACTGCTGAATTATCAGTGTGTGCTGCACCAGTTAACTCTGGAGGCCTGAAGTACTAAACTCATGGATTTAAATACTTCTGAACTATTCATTTGGTGTCTGAATCCCTCTACAAAAGGCAGAGTGCTTTTTTTGATCCAAATGGGGCTTTTAAATGCTGTTTTATGATAGGGGTAAGGTTTAAAAGGAAAATTTTCACTCCCTGTTATTTTGTGTCTTCATTTTTCATTCATGTACCACAGAGAGCTTAAGGGCAAAATAGCAGATTCATTAGATGTATCTCTGTGGTACTAAAGAAACACTGCATCTAAGATAAGCCTATGCAATAGTTATGCAACAATTCTGTTTTATTATATGGAGGAGAATTAATGCACAATCTTTTTTTTCTATGAATTTTCTCCTTGTAATCAGGAAGAAATCCTTTATTTGTACACCGTACTTAATTACAAGCCAAATAAAYATGAGGGGTCTGATGGTATAAGCTATTAAATACTGCAGTGGCACAAGTGCAGTTGTTTTCAAAAATGTAAATGAAAATTAATAAAGATGAAAGGAAAATTGGGTGCTGTTAACAGGAATTGAATTTTAAAACAACATAGCAAAAGTAATTTTAAGCTGAAACACTTTCATATTTATAATGAAAATGTTATTTCTAGAACTCCCCCTCTCCTTCCTTTCTTAGTATCATTCATCATGCCCCCCTCCCTTGTCTCTTCTGTTTCACCAAGTAGAGTGTATGAAATAAAAAAATACTCCTTCCTCTTCTCTGTATTTGCAGAGGAGTTGAATTTTGGTCYCATGAAGGCAGTGAGACAAAAATCTCCGTAGGCTTTGGCAGAGCAGTTTTTCAAACCAAAGAGATAAAAGAKCTTGGCTTTATTGCCCAATGATTTTTGTACTCAGCAGTGAAGGAGGAGTCTTGGGTTCTGGTCCCAGCTCCCAGAATTATCTACCTTTCATCCTCTATCTGATTTAATATGATATTTCTTAATAGTTCTGAGACATGAGAGGCATGAGCTTCCATAGCTCCCCACTGAGCAGACATCCTAGCCTGCAGTCATGAATGAAGGATCTAAGCCATGAAAAGCAGATGAGGGCTCAGACTTGTGGCTGTATTTTTCTTTTTTGGGTACTTTAGAACTTATTTCTGCTCAGTTCATGGGCTTTTATGGTTCCCTTTTGAGGTTGTTTTCCCTGTGCATGTGAGTTCAGGCAGGATTTTTTATTCCATTATGGGACTGATCATCTGGAGACAAGGTGATTTTGTTACAAATCTGACTTTAGACAGTAACTTTCAAGTTTGTAAGATTTGGGGCATAATATGGCACCAGCTTTCGTGTCTTGAGGTTTAGATTGCATGAGTGTTGTAACTTTCATTAAGTAAGGAGATAGCATTTCGTTCATCTGGCATGTATTGATCAATTTGATTTATTTTTAAAAGCATCTGGCAATGTTTTCATTATGTGTCTGGGCCACTTTAATTTAAACTTCATTATTTTGAGCTTTTTCACTGTGACAACCAAAACATTATCTCATATGAGGGAAATACACAGAATTGAATGTGTCTAGATTGAATAAGAAAAGGCTAGKAGAGGAATTTTAATTGCTGTCTTCAGCAATCTAATTACAAAGAAGACTGAGGCAGATTTTTCTTGGAGCTGTACAGTGAAGGGATGTGAGGTGAAACAAGGAGATTCTCATTAGARCTAGGAAAACAGTTTTGACTGTAAAGGGGGTTAAACCTGTAATGGGCCAAGAAAGGCTGTAGAATCTGCATCCTTGGGTATGTTCAGAACAGGACTGGATATGACCCCAAGTAATCTGATGTACCTTTGAAGCTTGTTGATCCTGTTTGCATTTGGCGACCTTAGAGGTCCCTTCCAGTAACATTTATTTCATGAGTCTGGCTTTTCCTTTAGAGTGCCTGATTATCAGCATTCTGAGCATTATAGCTGTGGCTGAAGTGAATAATCTTTGGATYCTTGATATCTGGAAATCTGGACTGAAATTTTGAATAAAACTTTTGAAAATATTGAAGGAAAAAGTGCCAAATAAGYTTATAGGGAAGGTTCATAGTCAGAAAATAATCTTTTGTGCCAGTGGCAAAACCAATTTTTTTTTTATATTTAATTTTTTTTTTTTCAGCAGGCAGTGAGGACAGTGAGTTCACAGATCAGGAGAGAAAAGACAGAGCATCCTAGGAAGCCAAAAGGAAATAAAGGTCCTTGTGCTCTTTGCTCAAGTCACTTTTGAGTGTCAATAGGGGAAATAGAGGTTTTGAAAAGGTGCACTGAATCAGAATCTAGCTCTTTAATATTACTTACAGAATAAATTCCCTCATGTCCTTCTTGGGTTCTTACTACCTTTTGCATTTCTCTCAGAGGTTTCAATGACTACTATTTCTGAGATTCTTGGCAGAAGAGTTCAGCTGAAAGGACTCATTGGAAAACGAGCTGTGAAATGTCCCCACTGTGACTTTTATTTTATGAAGAATGGATCAGATCTTCAACGTCATATTTGGGCTCATGAAGGTAAAACTCTGGTTTCAATCTTTTGGGTATATAACAAGTTTCATATTCTACTGAAGCTTTGCTGACATAAAAAAAACAGACTGAAGTTTATTTCTGTACCCAAATTAAAAACTTTAAGTACATTGGAGGTTAATTCATTAGTTTAATGGATTCTGGATCACATATGGAACTGCACACTCAGAACATAAATAGACAACTTAAATGTTTTATAAAATTAATAAGATTCTGATGYATTTTTTTCCTAAAACTCATTCATAAACATCTACAAAGTATTCGATGTGAGTAAAGAGGAGTGAATTAAATACATGCCTGGTATTTTAAAACAAGTAATTTTTTGTATCTTCTTTTGAGTCACTGCTGCTCCTTTCACATTTGTCAAAAAATCCTCAGTCTGGAAATCTGTTAGTAAACCAATTGAAATCCAGTTGCTTTGATGTTTACATGTAAATTCTGTGAGTATTTTAATTAAATCTCTTAGAGCATGGCTGTCAGCTGGCACAGACACAGGCAGTGATCAAAATCCTGTAAGATAATGCTCATCATATTTATGACTTTTTTAGGGAGAAATTCCAGTAATATGGTGACATATGGGTTAAAAATGCCTTGAATTTAAAATCTTTAGGCAGCAAAATCTTGTGTCTACCCAGTCTGTATATTTTTAGAATAGTTTGAAGACCGCTTATGTGGTCTTTAGTCACATTTATAATCTATGGAACAGATGGCCTATGCTTCTGGGTTCTTTAGCCATCCCTCTTCATAAAGGGGATTATGGATTTGGTGCTCTCAAACTGGTATCTTATTTCCAAAGTATTCCTGTGTAGGTAGTTCAGCACATTTGTTTGAACACTCTGTCTGTGAGCTTTCCTGCCTGTGTGCCATAGCAGGGATCCTCTCCAGAGGCCTTCACTCCRTTAAGGAGTTTAGGTAAGGCAGAATATAGGTTAGAGCAATTCCTTGTATATTCCACAGTTCTTGTATTCTGACAGGAAGACTGGGAACCCATGTCATCTAACTATCAGGAGAAAGAGGTGAACAGAAATTTATTCCCAAATCAAAGTGTGCAATCAASTCTGCTTAAAGCAGACTGTGATTCYTCAAGCTTATAAATCAAATTTTAAGGTCATGAGTATCAATCTAAAATGTGCAGACCCTCAYGAAAATGTTGAACTGCTTTTCCAGTTCAGATTTATTCACCTTTTCTTTTAAGGATTTGGTTTGTTCCTGTAGACCTTCTGTTAGATGACACACTGCTTTGGACAGTTTGAGGGAAGTGAAGTTTCAAGTGATTGTATCTGCCTGAGCCATTAGCAAATTTGACACTAATTAACAATAAAACACAACTTTGCACATTAAACATCTGCTCTCATGTTAACTACCTAAAGAAGCAGTCCTCCTTACAGCAGGCTTCTTCTTTGTTGATTGTAGTGAACAGAGAATAATAGTTATCTGAAGACTTTTAGAGAGAGATATGTACACCAGCGAGGCATCAATATGGGCAGTCTGGATTTTACTTCTAAATGAAGAATAGACACAGCAAGGGCCAAATATCAGTATTTGCCTGGCTAAACTCAGTACCTGCTGGCTTCAGCAGTGCAATAGTCATTTCTAAAAGATCTCCTCTTTTATCTTAGCAAGTTGTGTTCCTTTCACAAGCTTGACATCATTTAGACAGAAGCTATAGATGAAATTTATTAATTGTAGAGATCCAAATTTTCAATGCTGCTCTTTGTCGATGTTGCTCACATGATCTGAAATTTCTTTGAAGCAAATGTCCACCCTCTCATGGAAAGGCACTACCTGGTTGTTTCATGGTGTATTKTTTCATGTTTAGGTGTCAAACCGTTCAAATGTTCCCTCTGTGAGTATGCCACTCGCAGCAAGAGCAACTTGAAAGCCCACATGAATCGTCACAGCACAGAGAAAACACACCTTTGTGATATGTGTGGGAAAAAGTTCAAGTCAAAAGGCACTTTGAAGAGCCATAAACTCCTTCATACTGCTGATGGTAAGTGCATGTTTATTAAATCTATTTTAAGACAATAAATACTGGCTGTACCACAGGCCCGATTAACAAATGTTTATAAGTGTGATTTACAGATTTTGTTTATTCCCAGGGGACACCATTTGGGAAGTAATTAAAAACCTTCTAAAATTGATTTCTGTGAAAGACAGYTGTCTGAAATACTAGATTTTTCTGAAATTTTCATGTTCCTGCAGAAAATTATTGATCTCAATAGGAATTTGAGAATGCCAATAGTTCTGTGGTTAAGTCCTTTACCGCGTTATTCTATGAGAATATTGTTAGGATCCTGATGGCAAAAAAAAAAAAAAAAAGAGGGCATTTATCATCAAGAATGTGGTGTGTGGTTTGTCAGGGAACTTTCAGCCTTTTAAATGACAATTTCTGTGTGCCCAGTGTCCCTTTCTGTAGTGACAGCACTGCGAAAGTTCTTACCAGCACACATCTAGTGTTCTTCAGTYATTTCACAGATAAGTGAATTTGAAAGCTGTTTTACTGTTCATGAGTCTTTCTTCCTGACTTATGAATCCAAGCAATTTTTGTTGAAATATCAGAGCCCTACAAGGTCAATTTAAGCAGTGGAATATAAAGTAGTTTTCTGTCTGTTTTATTCTTCTCCAGAAGACAGGCTTCTCAAGAGTGACATGATAGAAAGCAATTCTGTAGTCCAGGGTCATTACTGCTTGTGATTAGAAATAAACCAGAAAGCCTGGTTTCCATTATTTTATTTAGATACCGGAAGGTTCTTCTTAGCCATGTTTTATAGAAACTTTCACTCTTGGTATAAAATGCTTATAACTTTTTTCATCAGGATCCAGAATCTAAAGAAATCCCATCTCTGTGATAATACAGAATATTCTCTATTTTACTTCTGCTTTAMCTTTTCGTTCTTCTGCTTTTGGAGTAGTTTTTAGAATATCCTTATTCCACATCAGTCAAATACAATTTGCCATCMATGCAYRTTTAATTCAGGAATGAAGTCCCTCTGTATTTAATACATCTTGTAATTTGGCTGGAGGTAGCAGGACTAATAGAATCTTAGAGGCAAAATACGGAGAAAGGGAGTATGAAACCCAKAGAATAAAAGGAAGGAAATAGTGTTCACTTAAATCATAAGGGAAAAAATAGATTAGTGAGAGAGACTACTTTGAAGGGAAAATGTGTTTGAATCACAGCAATTCTGTGCTTGGGACAGAARTGGTAAAACCATATGAACATAGTCAAACATTGGTGTTTTAAGGATTTCTAAGTGTGCTTTACAAATAGCAAAGTAGCTGTGCCTGCAGTTGTAAATAATGGATTTCCTTCTTCCATTTAGGGTTYGCTATAACAATACTTTTTCTTCTTTCCCAAGTGACTACCCCAGCAGAATCTAGAGTATTTAATGCATATAATTTAAAGAGTACACTTGAGCTTTTTTCCTYCCTCACTCTGCTTTTAGCTCTATTTAACCAAATTTTTGCAGAGCAAGCTCCAGACTTCTCCTATTGTTCATTGTTCATTCTTAACATTTTGGAATTTATCTTTGTGTGGAAATGGAGCTGATAGTTTTCTGAACTTAAATAGAAAAAACTTATTCCATTTRCTATTCCCATTTCAGGAAAGCAGTTTAAATGCACAGTGTGTGACTACACAGCTGCCCAGAAACCACAGCTCCTACGTCATATGGAACAACATGTCTCTTTCAAGGTAAGAAAACATATAAATCATGCTTATTTAAATCATGCTTTAAGTTATTAAGAAATACACAGAACTTTAGACAACAGTATTAAAACTGGTACTTCTTCCTGTTTGGTGGCAATTAATGGTACTTAAACATTTTAATATTTCAGAAATTTTGATTTAACATTCAGACTTTTGAGACAAGGTTATTTTGTTCATGACCAATCTGTAATTAGTATCTTTACATGACAAAAATGTCTGTATGTTTCAATATGAAACAAATTTATTTGGTTTGATTGTCAGTCCTTGAGAAAGTGAATCTAATATGTACCTTAAAATGTTCTAGGGAACTATGAAAGCAAATCCCATATATCACTGTTCATTGCCCATCTTAATTTTGCCTGAAGTTTGCCAGTCTGTTGTACTATACATGAGTTCATATAGTTGAGGAAAACTGAAGAGAATTATTTTAAAACACCCTGTTTATCTGAAATATACATTGGAAAGAGTTTTGGAAATCGTTAATATTTCTGTGAAGTATTTAAATTAGAGATACAGTTTATTTTAATAAATGGTAGTATGGTTTTATTTCTAAATTTCACATTGATTCTCCCTGTGATAGGCCTTAATGTAATGTATTGTGAAATGTTATATTCAGTAAATAGGAATTATACWAGTTTCTTTTCCAGAAAAGACAGTATTTTATATTTATGAAAATGTTCATTTTAATGTGAGGCTTTATCTTGACAATGAGCATATTTCTTATTGAAAACATSATACTATTTTCATATGCAACATCTTACATTATCTAACAGCTCATTTTACTTCTATAAAGAGTACACTGCATGCATTTTTAACAAGTACCATAAAGCAAAAAGGAAAGCAGTCTTTTCGGTGATGGTTTAAGTTTTGGAAGACAAGATATTTAACAGAATGAAACAAGTCATCTAAAGAGATGATACATTTTGAAMAAATAACTTTTCTTTCATAAGTATGTGGTTTTGGGCTGGAATAACATTTTTTAAAGGATTTTTCATAAATGAAAATACATATTTTTCAATTTTTTGATGTCTAAAGTGATGTAGTACTCACAGTGCAGTTCTTGGAATGTCACTGGTTCTGACCTTGGGATCTGCCTGCACATAAATGTGGCAATTCCAGATGCCATCAAGAGAACTGAGCCCTGGATTAGGTCAATCAGGGGTATTTGTTTAAAGGAGTTCAAAACCTGTTTGCCTCCTTCTAGGACAGTTGTTTGCATGCTTATCAGACTCAGAGAAAGGTCGCTACTTGCATGACCTAATGATCCTTTAATCCATCATATTTCCCAGCTCCAGGAATTTGCAATCCTGCTATCAATAGCAGGTAACATACACGACTTGCACAATAGAGTGGTGCAAGAATACAGCAGTCTGTCTGGATTATTTTCTCTAAAAAATGACAGTTTCAGCGATAGAAAAAGAGAGTACCCATCTCTAAAAAATTGAGTAGCTGAATGTTACAATACCCTCTGAAGTGTAAGGTTAAAGGAGTCTGACCATCACTTTTCTTCCTTATTTTTGCTGTTTGGAGGCTGAAGGAAGATGATGAGTAATGAGCTTAGAGAGTGTTCTAATCAATGTATCCTGATTGCAGACAGTTCCCTGCTTTAAATTCAGCTCCTAGATGAAAATTTCTGTACCGACCATTTTCTGCTGAGCAGCTTTAGGTGGGGGTGCTGTGCATGAAATATTTTGCATCCCATTCTGAGGTACTTGGCTTTTGGCCTGAGGATTTTGGTCAATGTCTGCATGCTTTTCCAGSACCTAATGGTTGTGTCAGGCTTCCTATATCTGTGATACATCTTAGTCAGAAAGTTATTCTCAAAGGTTAACTTTAGGCTCAAATGTTTGCTTTTCTAATTTATTTTCTTTAGGATTTTATTTCCCTGTCAGCTGAAAAAAGACATATTCTTAAAAAATTAATTAAATTGCCAAATTAGCTCACCAAATGGTCAGAGGAATACAAATGCCAGGGAAAGGGGAAAGGAAGGGAAAAAGGAAAAGAAAGGGAAATCTGTTAAATGAGATTGGCTGTACAATCATGTTGTATCTTCAGTTATTTTAGTTGTCTCACAGTGCCTTTGTCATGGCAGCTGAGTAATTTCATAGTAGAAAGTCTCCACAKTATCAGACCTGTTATCATCAATTATGAAAACACACAGTTTACTGAATTACAAAAACTGGGTAATAATCTTATAATATTGAGAATACCTGTTGTCTTGCACATAATTAAAAGTACCTAACTTAGGTAATGTTTAGTTTCAACTTCCATTTATATCGAATTTCGGAGAGTCTTCCTGAAAGATGCCTACACTGGAAATGAGTATGGTTTCTTGGGATCAAAACCTTGCAGTTTAGACCTGAATCCTGAAGAGGTGAGGAAATACAGTTGAATATTTTCCTTTTTGTTCCTAGCCCTTCCGCTGTGCRCACTGCCACTATTCCTGCAATATATCTGGTTCCCTGAAGAGGCATTACAACAGGAAACATCCTAATGAAGAGTATGTAAATGTAGGGTCTGGAGAGCCTGCAGCTGAAGCCCTTATCCAACAAGGTACATCTCCATCATATAGGATTTATTTGGGTTTTTTTTGCTAAAGCAAACTTGGTGCAAAAGATAAACTTTCATGCAATATGTTCCTCAGTTATTGGATGTTGTATGATAAATCGTTAYTCCTTTTTAGTAATTCTGAAATGGCCACCCTTTTCCCTTGATTCAGTGTTCTTTGTTCTTGGTTTTTGAGGGTGTGTGAACCAAAGTTTTGTTTGACTTTGCCTGTGCTATTTGTTGTTGCTTACATTTATCATTTACACTTGTTTGTCTCTTTTTGTAAGTAAAGTATCACTGTTGAAATGAATGATAAATTTCTACAATTCTAATGATAAATTTCTGTGACAATTCTGCAAGGTTGAGCTCGAGGTAAGATTGAGCAAACATGAGGAAAGAGAGCAAAGAGTAAATGGCAGCAAATTATTCCCCCACTAGAAAAATCTGGGTTAAAAGAGAGTACAGGTAAAACAGGTTATGAATTGTTATACTCATGCATAAAATGCTTGTTTTATGGGCAAAGGAAGCACACCTTCTGTGTAAGTAGCCTAAGAATTTATGAGTATGATAACAGAAATCTTRACAGTCTAATGTAAGACTTGACTAMCCTGAYTCCTTAAATTGTTTTGCTGTTRCACACTGGGTAGATGAACCAAAGCAAACATCTGATTATGCAGTCAGGTACATTTTTGGGTGTAAAGCTCCTTCAGTTCTAGTGCCTGGTGGGAGGAATATTGAGCAAGAAGAGGAGAAAGCCAGATTAAATATTAGATTGTATTGAAAGCATTTTAATTCTTGGTAGAATTAAGTTTCCTTTTTTACTCATCATTTTAGAAAGTGTTTTCCCTATCTTTTAACAGAAACTCCCAACAGTTTCATAATACYTTTTGGAATCTTCAGTTTCTGATTTTGTTGAGGAATACAGACCAAAGTAATGCTATTGCATTAAATAATTAATTAAATATAAATCTTTAAGGTTACATTACTTCTAAATGCTATTTCCAAATTACTCATCTAACACATAACATTTATCTGTTGAAGGCATTAATCCATGTTAAATACTGAAGTCGTGACACAGAGAAAAATAACTCAATCTGAGACTCTTCCTTTAAACTTGCTCTATTATAAATGTATAATTACAATAGGTAATCTGAGCCCATGTTGTACTTACATAACATGTCTTCATTTCCTTTTATTGAAAAAGAAAACTCAAATAGTTTTAAAAATAAATACCTATAAATTTCAGGGTAGGAATACATAGACTAGTKTAACAATTATTTTCACAGACAGTGYAAGTCAATGGGGAGGCTGCAGTTGTTTTAAAGAAGCAATATTTGCTTGGTCAGTACTCAGAGTCTTTTTTTTGTAGTCACCCAGATGAAGGAAGAGCTTTGCACTATGGGGAGCTTTGTTTAACTTTCCAAATATCTGAGCACTGCAAGGAATTATTTGTCTGTAGCCACTCTTAGGAATWGGTATCAGAGAATGAATTCTCTTAGTGTAAATTAGGGATCATACTTGCAATGTTTTGAACAAATAAAATTAATCATATGCCGATTAGGTTTTCCTTCGCCTTTGGGAGCCAGATAAATGCACTTCTGAAAATAATTCTTTCCCACTGAAACAAAAGAACTGTAAAGTTGTTGAGATGCAAAAGTAGCTTTAAAATGGAGACATTAGAGTGAGATGAGAGAGAAGAGCCTTTAGCTTTTTCTGTGGTGGATATCCTTTTTTCCACCACACTGGAACATTGGGCARTAATTAACAGGATGAAATTTAGCAAGTTCAAATCTCAGATTGCCCCTAGGGTGGATTAATGCCTGGGACAAGGGAGAGCAGTGGCTGGAGATCWGCYCTGCAGACAGGGATCAGCTCMCCAGGAGCCAGCAGTGAGCCCTGGYAGCCCAGAGGGCAAATCCCATCCTGGGGTGCACTGAACACAGCACAAGTAGCTGGAAAAAATGAGGATTATCCCTCTGTGCTCAGCCTTGGAGCCCTGAGTGCAGGGCTGGAGCCCATTTGAAGGTTCATGATTGTATCCAGAGGGAATCAAAGCTGGTGGCAGGGGCTGGAAGTCCTGTGAGGAGAACCTRAGGTCTCTGGGCTTGTCTGGTTTAGAGAAAAAGAGGCTGAGGGGAAACCTCWTTGCTCCCTAACAGCTTCCTGATCTGGGGAGGGGAGAGGGAAGTGCTGAGCTCTTCTGCCTGGGATCCAGTGACAGGACACATTGGAATGGCTCAAAACCCTGCCAGGAAGGTTTAGACTGGGCACAGGGAAGCATTCCTCTGCAGGGAGGTTGATCTAACACTGGAACAGACTCCCAGAGAGGTGATCAATGCCCCAAAGCTSTCAGTGTTTCAGAGGCATTTGGGCAATGCCCTTAACAACAGCTTTAATTTTTGCTCCTCCCTGAATAAGTCAGGCAGTTGGACTRGATGGTCCTTGTGGGTCTCTTCCAGCTGAAAGAGATTCTTTTCTTTTTCCATCTCTGACTTTGCATCCTTTCTCTYCCCTTCCTTACACAGTGTACATATTTCTTGTGCTCCCACTAATGCTGTGCCTGTTTTCCACATTCACTTGTGGAAAAGTCAGGTGTTTTAGAGCAGTAATGGGGCATCAAATCCATGCAAGAGCTATGAAGTCAATGTTTCTTCTCAGGGCTCTGCAGTGAAGAAAGCCATATTAATAGGTGCAATTTTCCCACATGCGGCTTCCTTTGCCAACTCAATTTCCTGCTCTGYGATGCATCAGATGGATCTTGTACCTGGGCTCCAAATAAGACCAGAGATTTCTTATCATGTGACAGAAACATCAGTTTTTCCCAGTGTTTTAATATCTCACTGGGGAAAAAATGTTCCTTGTGGGAGACATTTGCATTTGGAGGCGATAAACACRAATCCTGTTGCAGTTAATAAAAGTTTTCCCGATTTGGAAATCAGCAGATCTTCTGTATTTCACRCAGCACAAACAGATTACTGTGGACACATTTATGCAGTATGAGAAACAAGTCATATTTTCATATATCACACCTGGGTGTCATACGAGGTATTAGGTGTTAYRAAGAAATTCTTTASTGTGAGTGATGGAACAAGTTACCCAGAGAAGCTCTGGATGCCTCATCCCTGGGTGCATTCAAGGCCAGGCTGGATGGGGCCCTGAGCAACCTGTGCTAGTGGAAGATGTCCCTGCCATTGGCAGTGGGGTTGGAACAAGATGATCTTTAAGGTCCCTTCCAACCCAAACCTTTTGATAATTCAGTGTGTTTCTGAGTTGCTTGGGCCAGAAGTTGCACCTTGCTGTCTGACTAGCTTCTGTTTAGTTTCAATTTWCTGTATTCATAGAACTGAAAAGCAATCTTGGGAATTTATTCATGTATTCACATAAAGGAAGAAGACCTTTCAGACCTGATATTAAACAAATCCTTTGAAATGAAAGGACTGTAGATGAAAAGGAAAAGGGGAGAGTGCCAGCAAGCAAAAGGTTTGGAAAGAAATTGAGAGGGGAAAGCAACAAAGATTAATATCTAATAAAAGCTGTCTATATCTATTTGTATTGTATTCTGCTTGTTCTGAGTTACCCACTGAGCCCAGAGTGAATTGCCTCACACTTGCTCAATCTCCTCTACTCTCGATTGGTTTTTGACTGCATTGCAGGCACTGCAAATAATCTTAATTGGAAATATTTATATGAATGTAGACTGCTGGACTGTACTCAAGATTCCTAGAATGAGCTCATAAATAAATGAATGAATAATAGAAGAGGGACTGTTCATTTGAGCAGCTGCATTCCAAGGACAGACAGCAGTATTTAATTTTTGGGCTTGTGTTAGAAATTGGAATCACCCAGGATCATAGAAATGCTTGGGCTTTTGCAGGGTGTGTGTGGGTTTTTTTTTTGTTTAAGTCTATGATCTGACATTTATTTTAGTATTATAAAGTAATAAAGGAAAATAAATTGCTGAAGAATTTGATATATTCTGCAGAGGGGACAAGAGTGTTATGCRTTACCCGTTGGTTTTTCTGCGAGGCCCTACCTGTGTGCTCATTTGATGGCTTGTTTTTTGGTTTCATTTGCTTTGTGCTGGGCAAGTCACATAACATTTTTCCCAAGTTTTTTCTTTTCTCCTCACTAATACTCCCTCCCATCCACAGACGTTTTGTTTATATATCTGAGACACAGATGTTCATTTGTACTTGTGCAGGACATACGTGAGGATCCAGTTGTGGCCTCAGTGTTCTTACACAGCTGTTATCACATGTTTTCTTTGGACAAAAACAATATCTGTCTTATGGAGACTCTAGGCGAATAAATAAACTGGAGAGCACACGTCAGTGGAGRAAGGTTTTGGGGCTATGTAGGATCTGCCTGCAGTATTTCGTTACAAATATCAGTTTTGYTATTAAAAGTAGTAAAGGTGTGTAATTCATAGACTTTCTCTGTATGCTACCTATTATTTTAAAGAACTATCTAGAAATTCATTTTTCTGAGCTTTCATATCAAGTCACTGATATGGAGTTATATATTACCTGTTAAATTCTACGCTTCTATTACTTGTTATTTAATTAAAGTCATGATGATAGAAGTACAGATTTAATTTACCTGGTGAGTTCTTGTAGTAGTTCAATATCAAAGTGATGCAGAAAAGTGTTCATTGTTTCACAGCAATGGCTTTTTCCTAGTACTACAGATTGGTGTGAAATTAATGTGTAATTTCATTTTCTGTAACTGATAATATCATTGTTTTAATTTGAACTTTTTGAGTTTCCCTTAATAGTAGAGATGGAATATTGAGCATCTGCTCTAACAGGAAGTTTGGTAAAGACTGAGCAAAGAGGGGGGTTGGTATGGTAACAATAAGTGTTGGTGAAATACCCTACAGACTGGGTGTAGTTACACTCTGTGCCATCAAAATAAAAAGTTTGCTTCTTTTTATTTTATCCTGGTAGGATACTATGTGGTAGGTTTCCATGAATGTAAAATGTGATATATTTTCTAATCACCTTGTTCAYAAAAGACTGTACAATCTGGTCTTGSTTCATAAGCAGCTTCTGTGAGTCTGTTTGAAGCATTTAAATATGATGAGTAAGAATCATCATTTGCCACAATAATGTGGAGTCAGCCATGTGGTATCAGCACAGTTCCTGCAGTGGCATAAGGCATTTCCCCAGCCATTRGATTTGTTCATTAGAGTGAGTTCTGGTCATTTAATGCAACAATTTATCACATGCAGGTTATTCTTGTTCTCTTTAGTCAATAGAGGGAAAAAAGAGAAATACTTATTTGCATAATTACTGAGCAGCTGAGATCTGACATTTGACTAAATGACTTTCATAAGAAAAAGAAGTAAAAGCTGTTTAATCTAGTATAGAAAATTGGATTCTTATGATGTCGCTCAGTTTTTTACCTGTAATGCTGCACAATGACACAGTAAACACTGCTAACTTCATGTTATGAATAATTTTGTAGACTGAAAACTTTATTTACAGTTTACATGTCAACGTAACACTGTCAAAAGCATAAATTTGGGTGAAGAGGATATTGTTAACTGTTCCTTGTTTACTCTGCTTATGTTCAAAAAACCTCCCAATGTTTGTTTGAAACTTGAGAAAATTAGAACAGCTGTCTTAGAGAAGATACATTTTTTAAAAATTACTAAAATATGCCACTGATGTGTATGTTAAATATTAACATATTTCATTTGGACAAATGGCTAAAGGAAGACATTTTACAATTACATAGCTTGATAAAGATGGGGTCAAATTAAACAGGTCATTACTGCCTTGAAAAAGAATTTATGAAAGTTACTCAAGGAATTTATTTGTGTTTCCTTGTAGGTGGCATTAAGTGTCCTGTTTGCAGCTTTGTGTATGGTACTAAATGGGAGTTCAACAGACATCTTAAAAACAAACATGGAATGAAGTTAGTGGAAAATGATGGGGAGACCAAATGGGAGGTAAAACGAAGTTACCATGGCTTTGATCCTAAGATTTTTTTAAATTCTGGGGAGAAAAGTGAAGATAAAAAAAAGCATACAAAAATGTGGTTCTAACTTTATATAAGATCAGAAGATTATGGGATCTTATCTTCATTTGAATGCATACCTTGCTATATCTATTAAATTTTAATATATGGTAGGCTTAACATTCTTGTAAATGCTTATTTTTGCATTTTTGGCTTCTTGTCCTCTATTTGCAGCAGAAAGGATGAAAGCTTAGCAAAAAAAAAAGTGAAATTTAAAAACTTACTGCATTTTGTAATATGCTGAATATTCACTGGTGTTAACTGTAAGATGAGCAAAGCTGCTAACTTTTATTGAATTAATGAAAAAAGCTTATGCCTTKGTTCAGAGAAGGCTAGAATCTAGAAAACTGAATTTGTTAAGTGATCAGCTGAAAAAATTATAATGTTGTGCACAACAAGTCTTCTGTGATATGTTCTGTATTTTCAGTTGCAGTCCTGCAGATCTAGTATTTGTGGGAAAACCACAGATTTAGACACTTTTATTAAAAAATTAATTTGCCAGCTGAGTGTCTTCCACTGCCTGAGTAGGCTGATTTTGAAGTCCACTGAGAGGTAAAAGCCAGGAGTCAAATGCAGTTGGCTGACCCCCACAGTTTAAAATCTCTTCTGCTAAGTTTCGGTCTGGCCCCCATCACAAATCTATTGTCTGGGTTGGAAGGGCTGACCTGCAGCTCTTGTCTTAACAGTTATTGAGTATCCCCACACAGAAGGCTAAGTCCTTGAAAAATACTGGAGTAGGTTCTATTTGGACAGCTGTTCAAAGAAGACACGACAAGCATTTTAAAATGCAGCCCTTTAAAGTCTTGTATTCATATTCCAAATGATTCTCTGTACAATTTCCCAGTAGATGCCCAAAGCTGAAAAAAAGCAGAGGATGCAAGAATATCTYTGTTGCTGAACTGGCTGTAAAGAAAGAGTCCCATCAGAGCAGAAATACATATTGACAGCTGGTCTTGAAAGAAAAAACAAAAAACATAGCTTATGGAAAGGATAACTTTCTGAAAAAAAATGCCATTTTCAAATTTCTGAGGTATTTTACCAGGTCTGTATTAGTAATTAATTTTACTCAAAAGCTCTTTGCTAAGCCCTGGTACAGTTTAAGTCTGTTTTTAGTTCTAAAATAACTAAAATAAGATCAGCATCCTTAAAACAACTTTTGAAGTAGAATCTAGAAGAAAACTGTGGAATGGTATCTCAATTCCCATGTAATATTCTTCTTGAATTCGGTTTCACTCAGTATAACTCTTGTTACAATATTTGTTGTCCAAACTCATTCCATGTTGTTTAAACCACTGAAATGAGATTATTCATGCCTTGGCTGGGTTTTCTCTCCAAGTTAACTGCCGAAGTGTCTGAAGAAGCATCCACTCAGTATCTCCATATCACAGAGGCTGGAGAAGATGTTCAAGGCACTCAAGCTGCTGTAGCTGCMTTACAGAACCTTAGATACACTTCTGAGAACAGTAAGTTACCTTTTTCTAGGTTGGAACACAATACACCTTTTTTTATAAATATCTAATTTTTTTTTAAGTAAACTGGGCAATATATTATCTCCTGTGATCTCCTATTAAAAACTATGAAATTAGTCATCCAGAACTTATTTCTGGGGGGTTATATTTTCTGTGGGCACAAATGAGAAATTATAATTCATTATGAATTTCTATATCCTAAAGTCAATTAATACTTATCACTGTCTGTTTTGCACTGTATTATTAGCTGTGTGGAATTTCCTGCCTGTATTATTAAATATACTGTGAAATTAGCTATCTTGGCAGAGTAGATAGAGTGTGTCTAATGACAATTCTCTGGTTATTATTTTTCTCCCTCTCTGGCTTTAGTCAGCAAGAGTGCAGGAGTGACATGGTGGAATAGCTCATTTACCACGTTCCCAAGGCAGCACTAACAATCTCAATTTTGATGGTACATGAAGCTAAGTGAACTGTTCTGTATCAGGTTAAGGAGGAAAAGAGTGGCATTAGATAATGTCTGCTAATGTACAATAACAAAAACTGGAAGAAAAGAAAAAATGCCCAGATTTCTGAGAGTATTGAAACACCAGAAAATAGAGTAGATATTCATATGTGTTTTTTAAAATACATGTAAATAAATGCTCTGGTTATCAGAAGACAGCATTTTACAATTATTTGCGACTGTGGTTTTTATTGTTCACAATACAGATACATGTCAAAACCACCCACTTTTTTTGGATTTTTCCATGCATGTTCCAATTAATTTACATTACTGCCAATTTCTGTATATTATTTTAATGAGTGAAATTCTAAAGAAGTGAAAACTTCTTGAGAACTTTTCTTAAACTTTTATATATTTAAATTAAAACAAACATTGTCAAGGAATATACTGTACATAGCAGTTTTTATTTTAAGCATGAAGCTATACTTTTCTGAATAATTTTCTTTTTAGAGCATCCCCTTCAGATACTCATCCAGCATATTCCCTCTTAGTATGAAAACAGTAGCATCTCATCTAAAGGCAGGACTATAGTTAAAAAAACCCAAAAAACAAAGCAAGCATTTTTCAGTACTCAAATACATTTGTTTCTTATGTAAATAACAAAACATAACTACTTTCTATTTGAAATGAAATTATCTGGCCTAGACTACTATCACAGTAACAACCTCAGTTTGAAAGGGTTTAMGTTAAGAAATCAGGTTTATTCTATTTGCTGTCTCTTTTCTATCTCTAACAGTGACTGAAGCAAATATATGTCAGTTTTACATGACCCTGACAGTTTCTTTSCCTGTCTGACATCTCTCTCATGCTGACACTAGGCATGTGGGAATGGTGGGCCATTGGTGGGAATTTGGATTCCTGCATAACAAAAAAACATTTCTCGGCATTTAAGTCTTTCACACTTWGTGAAAAATTAGAGTACAACTAAAAATGKATTTTTCAGGTKKTTTTTTTTTGGTAAATATCCATTTTCTTTGGCAGGGCTACACACATCAGAGATTTTTTTTAGAAGGACAGACATGTTCTGATCCGGTGTTTATAAAATGATGAGTATGAGCTTTCCCAAGCAATTAACTTTTCCCTTCAGTACATTAATGATAAAACTACTTCTTTTAGGTTGAGGGGTATTGGGGAGGACCAGACAAATGGTAGACACAGCTTTCTAAAATACCAAATGGCTGTTATGGTTATAGGTGTACAGGTAGGTTCTTCTGTTTGTCCTGAATGTCTGGTAAATACACAATTGGATTTGTAAAGTCTTGCAGCTTCCTAATTGGCAGTTACTGCTATGAGCTGTTGCTTTTTGTTCATTTATTCAATGTATTCTTTCAGATCTCTTTCAAACAGGTATAGAAATGATCAGTATGGCTTCACTTGCTGATTCTTGCATTCCCTGGGCAGATTTGTTTTGTGAATACTTCCCTGCCATAGATCTGTTATTAAAGTGTCACATTACTGAGCTTTTTGAAATGTACCAACAGCACTGTGAGTTAGGGCTGTCCTACTGAGATTCACATGCCTTGCAACTGTTTTCCTGTGATGATCTTATGGCTGCTGTCTTTCTGATAAGGTGAAAGACTGGATCCAACAGCTGTAAACATCCTGCAGCAGATCATTGAGTTGGGCTCAGAATCCCACGATGCCACTGCAGTCGCTTCTGTCGTTACCATGGCACCTGGCACGGTGACAGTGGTGAAACAGGTGAGAGCTCTTTTCTTCTCTAAACTATCTATATTTAATTTTCATGTATTTATTGTAAAATGGGATTATTTTCCAAGGGACAAACTTTAAATGATCATTCAAGACACATGCAGAATTTTTCCTGATTTTTTTCCTGGGTTTTGTGTGTGTGTGTGTTTACATGCCCACACATGTACGTGTTCATATATATATATATATATATATATATATATATATATATATATATATATATACATACACACATAAAGATTTATACCTATAGAAATGAATGTATTTTTGTATTTATAGAAAATATGAGTGAATAAAGACACATGTATTTATGTGTGTAGGGTATGAAAATACACCTTTTTTGTAGCAGGTGTTTTCAGGTTTTATAAAATAATTTACTTACATTTTGTGCAGACACTCAGTGCCCTTGTCATCTAAAAGATTCAGGTGGTCCTTGGTGCAGCAAGTGAAAGGAAGTAGTTTTCAATTTTAGGTGCCTATTGGGTTCAAACTTCAAGACTTTTGCTCGGTATTTCCTCCTCACRAGTGTCTGCTAACTTTGTTTTTCATTCTCCTCATGGTGTTCTCCAAACTCTGCTTGTTCCTTCTGTTCCATCACAGCTCTTTGCTTATCCCTTTTCCCATTGGTTCACTGGGGTCTCTGCACTTAATGTGGTTGACAGGTGAGGGAAGGAAAGTACATGAGAAATTTTAACTTCCCAAAGAGTTTAAGTAACTCCTTTCATTTAAATGAACCAAAACTCTGATTATTCTGAGGGCTAAAACTAACTTTTGAGTTCAGCATTTTTTGTAGTGGCTTGAACATTGAGTTCATGAGAGCTCCACAGAAGTGTGAAGTTCATGGTSTGTGAAGTACTTGAATAATTCCYAARCTTGCTGGCCAAATGTCACAAAGAYRAGGCAGAATWTCAAGACAGAGCATTTTCAGATGTTCCTTTGAAATACTTAACAGGTATTTTGACTAGAAACCAGAGTTTAGTGTTTTTTGTAGAATAACATATCCAAATTTGGAAACTAAATTCAATCATTAAAGAGAAGAGACAGTGTGGCCCAATTACATTCCAGTTTCAAAACAACTTTTATAGTACAGCCATTACCAGTGTGAATGCTGTGCTATAGGTATGACTTTGTTTAGGGGTTGAATGCAGTATTAGCAACTGGTGTTTGTCAACTTTACTGAAATTAGTTCTTCCCYAAAGAAATGCATCTTTTGAGGCTGTTGTGCTAAAAGCGTAGGAGAAAGTGGCWGCTGAAGTAGAGCTGCCAAGGAGAGACAATGTTTAGATATTTGAATGTTGAATTTTAAATATACAGGTGTTAAATCTGTTCAATGTCTGACTCATCATAAATATTAACTTCCTTGTTGGACAATCTGAATTTACTGGTAGCTTTTTCTAAGTAAATATTTATGTTCTAAATTAATTTTCTTCCTCACTTTTAAATCCATGTTTGTAGTCTTTTGTGTTTGCAAACTGCTAAACCTTAATCACTTATTTTTCCTTTTCTCAGTGGTCTGATGTCAAACTCTTACAAGCCCCACTCCTATACCAAATGAAATATTGAATTTCCAGAGCAGAGAATCTCTTTTATGCTTTTCTTTTTAACCCCTTTCCCCCTTCCTCTAGAGCCCTTTAATAAAAAAAAAAAAGCCTTTACCTTTTAAAAATTTTTCTTTTCATTTTTCTCTTTTGTTTGTTTTTTATTTTTTATTTTTTAATTTTCTATAGAAATCAGTGTTTTAGCATAGTCTGGTCTGTTAAACAGCCGTTATTACTTTCCAGCTCTTGTCTTCCCACCAGAAAATTGCTCCAGAGTTAGAGGCACACCCATTTTCCATCTGAGAGAAAAAAGTCTTTAAATGTCATTAGCACTTTAATCCTCCCCTATTAGAAACGGTTTRTGTTTTATCTTCAGTACTGAATTGCTTTCTGTGGGATATCTGTCATTTGTACCTATGACTTTGTCAGGTTTTAATTATGCYAAGTTCTTAGTTGCTAACCTTGAAGTGACCTTTAGACATGTTCATATTTCACTTTCCTACTGGAAAATGTATTCCACAATTTCTTCTGTGACCTTCAGCTTCTCTTGTGGATTGTGAGACAAAGAATTCATTCAGGGTGTCAGCAATATATCGACATCATCTGTCACTGAATTTCCACTCCTGTTCTTTAATGGCCTCACCGAGTCCTTGCTTAGCAGCTTAGGTCCATTTTTTTTTTCTTTACAACATCTATTGTAGTTGTTCTGTTTTTTATGCTGTTTGTTTTTGTTTTTTTTTTTACTCTAAGGGCATACATTATCCATTTTTTATATCCGTTCATACTGTCAAATCTCATTTTTTAGCTAGCCCTTGCAAGTTACCTTTATATTTCTCTATTTGCATCAAAAAATTCTTCTAAATTCTAAATTACTAGAATGTTTTAAAAGGATTTTTTTGCTGTAGTACATTATAGTGTTCCTATTTTTATCTCCTCTTTCCTCCCTAGAAATTTCTTTTGTCCACGGCTATCCTCATCCTTACTTTTCACTCATAAAAGTTCTATTTAGACTTAATCMTTAAAATCATGTATGAATCCAGCTGTATCTGTCAGTAATACTGCCATCCTCWTGCTTTAGCACTTCCCTAACCTGTGTGCTCASATACCTTCAGTGTGCTGTGCTTGTWRATSCWCAGGTTAATGCAAGACTTTTGCTTCCAGAAACAAACTCTGTCTTTACCCCTGAGTCCATTTCAGTATCTTGGAACATATCAAGTATATTAGTTAGGTCTAACTGGTATAATTTTAATTTTTTTTTTTCTATTAAGTCACAGGACAGAAAAAATACCACATTTTAGGGGCTCTTCTAATAAATTATTGTTCTGCTTGCAGTCTTATTGCAAGTATCCTGAATTATAAATGCACATTATAATGAAGTTGAAATCAAAATCAGATTGTCTGCTCAAAGCTYCTGAATTGCACGTTGAGAACAAAATCTCAGTTCTGACTTAGAAAGCTTCATATTTCTTGTTTATACGAATGATTCTATAAAAGAAAAGGCTTTGACAGCATAGCAGTAACCAATTCCTGCCAGGACTGGGATTCAGCTTATGATTTTAACCCCCAAAATTGCAAAGTTAGCTCTGTTTAGCTTGGATTRTGCTTGGTTAATAGGAGTCATTGTTGGCTCTGTTAGTGTCATGTGTATGAGACCTTTCCAAGTTTGTGTCTGGGGCCTGAAATTATTTTATCTTAATCTTGCCTGAGTCAGTACACTAATCTGTTATCAAAGTTTGATTTTTTTCTAATTTGGGTTAGATCCAATTGTATGAGCTCTGAAAATATGCAGCTCCTAAGGAATGCAATATACACCAAATGCCTGAGGAAAAAACATTAATAATGTGAGGTTTTACCAAGATGATCTGACACTGTCAAAAATCCGTTTTGAAGCTTTGATAACAGCATAGGAGGAGAGATCCATCCTTGTTCAGTTACTGGGGCCCAGTCTGGATCTCTTCCTAAAAGAGCTAATGAAGRTATTTCTTCATATCATGATATTTCAGTTGTTCTGCTCTGCTTAAAGACAAAAAAAGTAATAAGGTGGGGAAAAAGTAAGAGAGGAAAGAATGCTACGTTTGGGGAATAACTAGGAAAAAGGCCTATAAATACTTAGAAAAGGCAGGAAATGCTCTTCATAGTGATGGTGAATATAGCAAGAGMCTGGGGAGAAAGCAACTTTGAGGAGCACCACAGAGGAAAGTAGAGGGACTGGAAGGGTAAAACAAGACTCTTTCYTTTCTGCACATTCGACTCTGTGTCCTGTTACACATGTACTTTTGCCCTTGTGCCTTAGGGTGGAGATTGATTCATTTGGTTTTTTTGTTTATTTTGCTAGAAGAGGCTGTTCAATCCATTATTTATAGGGGTGGACTATTTTCCTGGCTCACATGCCAAACATAAGGCAGGATTGGAGGACAAACAGTCAGGCCAGTATCACACACCCCCTTGATTTACAGTCTCTGCAGGCTGATGTTCAAAGACTTGTTTTCCACACCATATATCTGTATGTTAGTTAGCAGAAAGAGAAAGAGTGTTCCACTGCCAACTGCCTTGATGTATARTTGTGTCTTTCAGTGAGAGTAAGAGTATTAACTGTTCCTTAAAAAGTTTGTTTCAAGGTAAACATTCATTTGATTTAAATACTGAGTTTCTTGTGCAGAAATATTGCCTTCAGAAATGAGCACCCCTGATACCTTAYTTTTTGCAGAGGAGACTCTTTCACTGTGYAGTGCTGTAAGTTAGTCTCCTGGGAAACAATATTCAAAGTGCATATTCTTGGTTTCACAATATGTGAAGAACATCCTTGAAAGTTTAGWTCCTGAATCCCTCAGTGGATTGATCAGAGCATCACAAGTGTTTCCCCTTCTTGGTCTGTTTCCCTTTGMGTTGTTGCTCTTCCATTTCCAGTGYYTRTAATAGTAGCAAGATACTTTCTTGTTTAATACACTTACTTTTCATAAAARCAGTTTATTATTTGTAGCAGATCTCTTTGATGTATGATTCTTTGTTCAAATATGAGTCTTTATTTTTGCATCTAATTACTACTCTATCAGAGCCAGCAGAATTTTGAATTCCAAACCAAAGTTTTGCATTGGTATAATACCAGTTAAATTTGGTTACATGTTATCTGTTTTTAGGGTTATGTTATCTGTTTTTTAGGGTTTTTTTTTTTCATTTAGATAATGATGGACTAATTTGCTGCTAATTTGCTATTTTTAGGCCTGTRATACTGCATTAGTTTGTGTGGTCTAGAACCATCACTTTGAGCTCAYTCTGAAGAGGGCTGAGAATTATTATTAATCACTTTTAAAGGTGATTATATCAGCCTTTCTGCACAGTTCTTCATCAGCAGTCCACTTTATTTCTCAATTCTGTGAGATTTCTTTCCTGTAGTTAAGCCAGAGGGCTGATGTCCTCCAMGGGAGCATTCCTGGGCCTTGCCTGCAGGTGAAT